ACACACCTATGAATCTTTATTACTAGGTTTTGCCAATAACTGTTTTTGATGATTTGTAAGGATAAGTGCAAAGTATTGTTCATTTTTTTCTGATCCTACTGGACCACACTGCCTTCTTTGAATTCCACACTCAAATCTTGGGTTTACAAGGACTGATTTGCTCTGTGTATTCATTTCTAGTTTCCACTGTTACAACTTTCCCTCCATTTAGTTAGGATTGAGAGCCATAATAATTTTCCCAGAGCAGCTCAGCATGGGTACTGGAGGCACCTACGTTTCAAATTAACTATACCTTATGTTCCATAGTAATGCTAATTTGGAGAAGAACTTTCCTAAAAAAAGTTAAGGTTTCTTCTTTTCTCTATTATATGCGCAATGATTCTTTCTTTCTCTTTCTCCCCCCCCCAAAAAAAGTTATTGCAAAAGAGTTTTGTTTTTTTTACTCTTTTGCAATAACAAATGTCAGTAAAAGCTTCCCAACTTAAGAACAGTAGGCCAATGTAACAAGCTGCTTGGGGAAGATATAGGCCCTCCGCTGGAAGTTTTCAAGAAGCAGCTGGATAAACATCTGTTTGGGACCGTTAAAAATGGCAAATCCTGCATCTCTGTAGGGGGAAACTAGCTGACCTTCAAGATCCCTCATAATCCTATGATTCTAGCTTTGGGAAAACTCAATGACACTCTCAGCTCAGATGAGCTTTTATAGATCAATTTACATTTTTTTTCAAGGTTATCTCTGCAAAGAGAAAGGCTGGAGATTTTCTTTTCAATAAGAATAAAAGTTGTGATTCTTCTTTTCATTTTTGGGTTCCCAAACTGGGCAAGGGGCCTGTAGCAGAAGGCTCTGAGAACTCAGAATGCTAATTTGCCAGTTCATGTATGAGTCTTTTAAACCAGTCAGATCTGCTGAGATATAATAGGAGGAAATGGCAATATTCATCTACACTGAAACCATCCAACTCCATGAATCCCAATGTCCTTTACCAGCATGTGATCAATATAATTTATGGTCAACTCACTTTAGGTGTAAAACCCAATCAATTCTAAAATGTATGCAGCTCAATACACTACCTTATGACATGTAATTTTCTCTCAGTCCAGAGAAACACACCCAGTATTAAAATCAGTATTGAAAGTTTTTAATTAGTTAAACCCGTACACCTGATGCCATAAGAAAAATCACCACTTAAATAACAGTAACACTGAAACAGATACGTAAACTGAAGGCTGTAATTGGAAGCTTGTCTTGCTTAAGAGGAAGAAAAACTAAGATTTGGTGAAGAAAGGATTTATACAGATGAACAGGGTTCAGATCAGTTTCTGTACAAGCACAAAATCTGATGCTGCCACTTAGAAGAAAGTAAGATCACAACTGGAAGTGGAAAAATGGATTCAGAGGAAGAGTCTATTTTAACAGAACAGCTAAGTGGAAGCTAGGGAAAGGACCAGGCACCACTTAGGCCTAGATGTGATGTCAAGTGACAAGCTCAGGAGATGGAAGCTGAAGGTTGGAATAAGATTGATTTAACAATAGATGCAATTTAAACAGAAAAGCCAAGGTGCTGGAAGCTGGGGGTTGGGATAATATCCATTTAAGAGGGGATTTGATTTAAACAGACCAGAGAGGTAAAAGGTAGAGATGAGAATAAAATCAATATTAAGTTAGCTAAATCAAATCAGTTTGTTAAAAAGCATGCTGCATAGAGTATTTGGGCCTAGGGAAGTAATGTTTGCAGCTAAGGGGCGCAGGTGCATTTACTAAACATAACAATTTAGTAAATGCCCCTCTGTTTAATAGGTATATTATTCATTATAGAAAGGTAGTTAGCTATGGTAGTCTGAAAGCAGGTTGAAAGCTGGTCAGAATGGCACCTTATAGATTAACACATTCAGCGAGGCATGAGCTTTCATAGGCTACTGCCTACTTTGTCAGATGCTATGAATGGACCTGCAGAGTGCAGGGGTACAAAATAGAAAGGAATAAAGTAATTTAAATACAAAGGATTAGGAAAGGGGGAAGAAAGGAGAGAGCACTGCTGAGAGAGGTAAAAGTGAGTTAAAGACATTGAAGAGGACAAAGCAGTTAACCCACTGAGGGACTTGGGGTTATAAAATCTAGGTCTTTGTTGCACAAGACACTTTGTATGTGTTTTATTTAGATCCCAGTAACCATTAGCTGAAATTAGAATGTGTTCTGAGCAGCCACACGTACAGTAATGCTTACTATGGTTTCCCAGCCCACATACTTCATAAGGAGCTCTTGCAAACTGGGCCTCTGCTGCTGGCAGCAGGTGGAACGAAGTATGGGGAACTGAGCCTGGGAAAGGGTGCTGCCTCTGTCACTGGACACTGCAGTACACCAGGACTGGAGGCCGTTTGAGGCTCCAGTTGAGACTCCAGTTCAGTCCTGGAGCTGGGATTGACTATCAGCAGATTATGGGTCTCAGCCTTGGGACTGCAAGTTGCTTGTAATATCTTTGTGGAGCAGATGATGGCAGAATATGTGCTACCTAATACCAGATACAGTCTAGAAATAAACCTTCTGTGAAAAGTCCTAACTTTGCTATAATATGAGTGCGCTTAACATGTGCTTTACTGCTTGAATATGCAGATGCTCATGTTTTCAGTGCAGTTAACACATCCTAAGTGTAACATGCAAAAACGCCCCATGTCCAGGTGACAGGATAAGAATCCAGAGTGGGGTGGGCAATTATTTCAGTTGGAGGGCCGCTTAAACAAGTTTTGGTGAGGTGTCGAGGGCCACAAAGGTAGCCCCAACCCTTGACAGTTGCCCTACTCCCTGGCCACCATCTTGGTCATCCTCTAACCCTCATCTTTGCTACTGGAAGTCTCTTTCCTTGCCCTGGAAGTACCCCTTTTGGGAGGGGGGGGAGTTTGCTTGTATAAAGTAGATGGGGGGTAGGGGAGTATATATGCTTAATATTTACATACTTACATATTAATTCGGTAGGTCTAAAATGATAAACTCAGGAATAATTTTTCTGAGGAGAGGGAATAAAGAAATGGCAATGAATGACCAAAGACTTAGCCAATAATTAATGGTAGACATATTTATATTAATCTGGTGATGTAATTAATTGTTTAGCTATTGGAATCAACTATTAATATCATTCCAATTGAAAAACATCATATTGTCATATGACAATCTTTTTGTAATGTGGACTTCTACAATGACATTTCTTAGAAGAGGATTTCCACTGTAAATCAAAACAATATTATAGTGAAAACTAGGAAGAAGATTCACTTCACTTAGCCTGTGTTAAGTGTCACAGGAAGTAGTAGTATTGTGAGTCACATGGGGAAAGGACCTTGGGTTAGTCATTCTGAAGTATTCAGTTAGGATATTTGGGCATACCTACAAAACAGTTAAGTTCTTACTTGAGGTAGTGTCAGGTAGCCATCGGGTACAGACGTGCGCTTTTACATCCTGATGACATCCATTGGTCCCCTCAGGGAGACTGCAACCCATTTTGGTTGGTCTAGGTGGGGTCCAGTGTTCTCTCTTCTCGTCTGCCACGACTTTAATGTTCAAGAGATATTAATGAGAGGGAGGTGGTGACTACCTGCCTCCACCTAGACCGACCGCTGGGTTCCACCCCGGCTCCTGAAGCCTTAGAAAAGGAGTGGCAAAAATGACTAGTCCGAAGCAATTCTTTCCTTTGTCCTTTTTTTTCCTTTATTTTATTGTTTGCTTTTTTTTCTCTGGGACAGCTGGAGAAGTTTGGTTCCAGGGTAACTGGGTTCTTGGTGCCTCCTCAGGGTTCATTTGAGGCTTCACCTCAGCTCCAGGCTCTCTCCATGCTCTTTGCTAATTGTGGCTGCGCCCAGCTTAATTGGTGGTGCACAACTGCTTAACAAGTATAGGAAGCTCCTATTTGCAGCTGAAAGGTGGGAGGGAAGGTCTTCTCCATCCTTCTTGTCCTGACCCGACTCGGTTTCCTCACTCCTGGATCTATTTAAGATCTGACAGAGTGCAGTTTTCCTTCCACTCAGGATGCTATTGTTCTGGTTGGAGTCTTCTTGCCGAGGCCGCTTCCACCTTGTTTGGCACCCGGTGGCAAATGATCTGCCACTTCAAATAAATGAAGAAACAAAGAAAAAAAGGAAAATGGAACCGACAGCTTAGGGCATCCACCTTCCTTGCCTTCCCTGGGCCTCTCCTTGTCCTTATCTTCCTCCTTCTCCTCTTCTTCCACCCCATAGTGGGGTCGTCATCGCTTCTCCAGCGCCCTGCCAGATGCTTACCTTGACATTGAAGCATTCTCCTGGTGTCTCAGGCTCCCTGGCTCCTTTCTCCTCACCCTCAGCTTCCCTCTCCCCCTGGCTCTGTTCCTGGCCCCCAGATATTGCCCTGGCTGCAGATTCATACCAATCCACTTCACCTGCTGAGGTAGTAAAGGCAGGCATGGGAAGATAGGGAGCTCCCACCACAGTGTGGATGTCTTAATCTGGCGAGGTCTGTGCTCCTGGCTGGGGTTGTGCCCCAGGTGAGTACCTTTCGGATTCTCACAAGTAGCCTCTAACTTCCTTGCCATTTTAGAAAAAAAACCTCTCTCATATGCCATTGGTGCTTTAAACCAAGATTCAAAGTGTAGGTGTAGAACACATGTGACATTTTTACTCAAGTTAGTATTTGACTGCTGACAACAGATACTCAATGGCATGCATAAGTTTAATGCTATATTTCAGACAGTAATGTGTTGGAGTTTTTCAATTTTGATAATAATGTATTATGTGTTAATTAATATACTTGTTAATTGATGTTTCTAAAAGACAGTTTATAAAAATTCAGGAAATGTATCTGTACTCGTAATGTATTTGCTCTGAAGATAACCTAGATGTAGTGAAGGCACATAAAAACATTCTAACTCAGTTATTAATTTGGGGTTGGTAAAGTTGCTGCCTGAGTGATTTCATCTTTTGAAACATGAGTAGTTCTAATCAGATAAAGAGATTTGAACTTTCTTTGGTTTACCATTTGTTAGGGCTCCCTCCCTTCCCAGGAGGAAGATGAGTAACCCACAGGTCACATGCCAAGGTAAAACAGCAAGTATAACTTTCTTTATTGAAAAACAACACACACCAAATCAATACTGTAAGCTTACAAGTTGCTAGCGCATCGGGCTGCAGGAAAGGCACTCCTCACCCTGTTCTAAGTTGTTAACTGATAGGTCTCAGGAACCCCACCCTGCATCCAGGGTGGCAAGACTACCTCCTTTATTGGGTCCTCAGCTTTGTCTTTCTCAAAGCAGTTCTGCTTGGGGCCCAGTTCTTCTGACTTTTATACCCTCCTTCTTGTTAACTATCTCTTCCAGAAGGGGGTTTAGCCTCACTGCCTTTCTGGGATTAGAGCCAAGCTATTATCTCATTTTGCAAAGCTGTCATTTCTAAGCAAAAGCTGTTATCTTTAAGTTCCTTTTGGGTTGGGACTTTCCAGGGCCATTGGTAGGGCAAGGACAGTTCCCCTTTTTCTTATTTTCGTCTTTGCCTATCAGCAAACATCAGCAGATGCATTAGGTCATTATCCCATGGCTTCCAGGTTCCGCGAAGCTGACCCCCCCTTCGGGGAGTCAGCTTGGCCTCCTCCCAGAAGCCTCTTCGGGCTGGGCCTCACACCAATTGGTGGGCCTAGCCTGACTTTACAACAAATGCAGGAATCATCTTTGTAAGTTTTGTGACAAATCTATTCCTTTGACTTCATTTCCTTCTCCAGACTCATATAATTTACACAGCACTGTTCCTGCTCCCAGCTCATACGACACACATGCACTGTGGAGCTGTGCAGATGGTATATTTACAGTCTAGTATTTAGTGGTAATATTGTTATCAATTGTTCCACTAAAAAAGTCTGCAAAATATTTATAAAGGTTAATAATATTTTTAACAATTTATTTTGCCTTGCCTCCAGTCTCCACTTTATTAAAACCATTCAGTAACTGTGACAAGATGGTAACAAGCTTCTGGGCTCATTTTTGAGAGAAAATGATTCACTAACAGGATAGTGAAAAGCTTTTATGAGTACAGATTTCACATATTCTAGTCTCTCAAAAGGGCTCATATAGATTGATAGGCCTACAAAGGAAGAAATGAGAAAAATGAAAGGAAGAGATATAAATAGACTTTTTCATTAGGATGAATAATGGAAGGTATTAACCCCACTACAGCAATGCACCTTTTACATGTCTTCTTTCTCATTCTTTTGACCTGCAATCATCTTCATTCTAAGGAAAAGTTAACTGCAGTCTAAAACATAAGTAAGAAGAGCAATAGCTGGAAATAAATGTTTCCTTAAGCATATATTACTATTCAGAAAGTGTCCATCAGCTGAAATGCTACCCTCTAAATCCATTTAAGAACTGCATAGCAACTAAGTAGGCAACTGTTATTAATTTTTAAGCCTGCCTGACAGGTTTCAGTCCAAGAAATAAGTTTAACTTTATGCGCAGAATATTGCAGAGTATATTTAATTAAGAAGAAACTGAATCTCAAATGATTCAGGATTTATTCTATGCTAAAATACCACAGCAATATACAGTACATACAATTATCAAAGAAGAGAGAGATGCTGTACATATATTAAGAGGCATAAAATAACCTCTCACTGAACTTCTCCCAACATTTATCCGCTTTCAATCTGTATATAATTTTTAAACTGACAGGATGATGGCCTGCTGAAACAGTGTCCTAGAGAAACTTGCAGAGATGCTCTTTTCTAGAACAAGTTTGGAAAGATGCTTATAAAGATTGTAGAGGTGCACCGATACATAGGTCCCATATCAGCTTGTCATCAATATAGGGAAAATTGACAGTATTGGCAATTGGCTTTTTTTGGCTGATGTGGCAGATAATGTCACCAATAAGTGCCCCTTACATGCGCACAGCTGCAGCGCACCACGCAGATGGTCAGCAGTGCAGCCCAGCAGTGTGGAGCTGCTGGGTCTGGCTAGTAATTCTGTTGTGAAGGAAGGGGCATGGGGTGAGGGGTCGGGGGGGGGAGATCAAGGCCCCAGCAGAGAGGGAGGGAGTGGGGCACAGGAAGGGGCAGAAGCTGCTCAGCCAGAGTGGGGCAGGGCATGGGATGGAGCTGCAAACAACTTGTCTGGGGGATGTGGGGAGGGGGTCACAGCTCCTACTGCTGCACACATCCCAGGAGGGTCCCTGGATTTGCACATGGGGTGAGGGCAGGCTGTCACTGCAGGCTGGGTTGGGGGCAGCACTGGGCTCTTCCCAGATGGGGGGTTGGATTGGGGCTGCGCTCAAGGTGGCAGCAGCAGCACTGGGAAGGGACTATGGTGAATTTTGTGGTGGCTGCAGCACCCCCATAGCTTCCCTCCCAGTGCTGCTCCTGATCACCCTAAGCGCAGCCCTGCCCAGCCCCACACCAGGAAGAGCCCAGCGCTGTCCCAGCCCCAGCCTGCAGTGGCAGTGACCCTCACCCTGCATGCAGATCCAGGGGCACATGGCCCCTATGGCCTCCTGGTGTGTGTGCAGCAGCAGGAGCTGCCTCCCCATCATACCTGTGGATGAGCGGCTCGTGGCTCCATCCTGCACCCCACCCCAGCTATGCAGCTCC